TCGTCTGCCTAGGGGAGACAAGCAGCGCCCTGGTTCACCCTCCACGCTCACCCTCCACTGCAGATTTCCGCCCATGTCGGGAGCGCCGGACGCGCTCTCACGATGTCGTGGACGCAGCAGAATGGTCCACATGCCGCGGACATTCTCGGCACGGTGATTTCTTTTGGCATCCAACGGCGAATCGTTTGCGGCAAAAAACCTGTGCGTCTATCAATGTCTGTCAACAGTCAACGGACGGACGGAACCTAATGAGACCCGACAATTAGGGACAGCGACAGGCGCCAACATGCTGCATGACCTCCGACTCGAGCCTCGAAAATCTAACGAGTGCATCATTCTCCCACCCTTCTCTTCACGAACATAGACAAGTATCCAGCCTCGCAAGGCCGCAGATGATGCATCGCAAGAGCGTCACGAAGAGCATTATCCGACGCCCGACCTGCACGGCCAGCACGAGGCTATTCGCAGACCCGCGCTCTTCCCATCATGTGTGTATTTGTATTTCAGATAATTCACATTGACCCCGTCGGAAACTGCGCAGACGACGCATGCATTTCGTCATCCGTATACCCCGTCACCAACTACCCCAAACCTCGCCAGCGTGCACGCACTTTCGAACCTTGCGAACCTCGACTTGTATCCTGTGATGACCCACGTAGATAGACAGGTGAGCCGATCGTGCGCGAGGTGTCTCGCTCACAAACTCTGTCTAGGTTGCTACGATGGTCTTCGTGGCGAACATCTCGGGAAGTGGAGTCGAGACTCATCTCTTGTTGGGGCGACCGTCAGGGGTGACCATTCGTCCGCTCTCCTACGCGGCGACGAGCATGCACGCGAGCTGTTTTCCTGTGAAGGACGCCTCGCCCTCCCGCTCAGTCACCTACCGCCTTCCGACTGCAAGGTACCCGCCACCGTGAGTTCGCTTATTTCCCCGGAAGAGTTTCCCGCGTGCTCGAGCCTGGAACGTGTGCGCTCCTCTTGCGCAAATTCGGTCGAAGTTCAATCCCCACAAGGCGAACGGAACGTGGTCACTCTTGGTGGGAGCTTCGGCCTGCTCGAAGAATACGGTTCCGCGAAAGGACGTACTGGTGAGGACTTTCACAGACTTCTTTAGGTTGTGCGCGTCAATGGGTACCACTCGGTGCAGCGCCTCTTAGGCCGCGCGACCGCAAGCAAACACCACGTCCTCTGTTGATTCGGTAGACTCGTCTCGCTCGAGTTTATGCTGCGATGACCGCCGATCACATTCTGAAGCCTCTGCTACACAGTCAACTATCGACATCTTCCAAATTGATCGCACGCTCGCTCTAGGAATCAGATCTGTCCATTCCTCGTAACAGAGCCGAATCCATACATTCTGCCACTACTAGGTTCCACGAGTCGCCAATGCTCCATAGCGTCCATGCTCCTCTTCCTCAGAGAGTGACCGGGACACAACCGATGGAGACGAGTCCACCTAGATGTGTTCATGTTAGTACGTATGCCGTCACGATCATGTCCTTGGCCCATCTCTATCTCACCGTAGGAGTTGTCCGCGCAGCACACAGTGTTCGCCGAGCTGCAACCTTTAGTTAGCTTTTGCTGGCTACAAGACGACAGTGAACGTACCAGCTGCTGCCGCTACCGACGCCGACAACGCTGATGGGCGAGCATGTGACGCCGACCAAGGCATTGACATCTTGAACGACGATGCCGAGACCACCGAGCACGCCTGATATGGCCGGGTCGCTCGCCTTTCCGGTGCTCTGACAGCACTGGATGGGTGCGGTGCTGCACGACGCAGGGGGCTCGCCCCCGCCGCCGGGCGTGGGGGTGGCGACAGCAAGGATTGCGAGGGCGGTGATTGTGAAGAGCTTGGAAAACATGGTGGATGAGATGTTGTGTGGAGTGCGAGTGCGAGTACTGGTGAGTGTTCGCTGAAGACTTTGGAGACGTCGAGCTGAGGGTTCTTATACCTGTCCAAGGACTGGCTAGCGCGTTGGAGGCATGCTTTACAGAGTATCCTGCACCACTTGAACTCTCGTACATCATAATCCTTGGAAGGTAACGTAGATTCGCTCCGTCCAATGCCCGCGTTGAACGTTGCTCCACTGGCAGTGACAGCATATCTGTCGCCTGTCGATATCCGAGTCTTCGCTTGCGGGCGGAGGGCGGTACCGTTTGTCAAACCCACTCCACGCAGGCCGCAGGCGACGACGACGTTGTACTTCAATTATTGCCTACGAGAGGGCGGCAACATTTTCCTGCTGGAATGAACCATCGCCCTAATGCAGCGTACATCAACTCCTCGACTTCTTCAAGACCGCAGCCCCCCGACTCACATTACATCGCAGATATCCGCCCATGTCGGGAACGCTGGATGAGCTCTCACGATGTCGCGGACGCAGCAGAACGGCCCGCATGTCGAGGACACCCTCGGTACCGCGATTTCTTTTAGCATCCAACGGCGAATCGCTTGCGGGAAAAAAAGCTTGTGTGTCTGTCATCTGTCAGCGGACAGATGCAAACAACGCTCAGGGTCAGCGACGGGCGCGAACATGACCACTGACACAGCTCAGGCTGCATAACGTCCAAGAGCGTTCAAAGTCTATTCAAGTGCGTCATTCTCCCAGCCTCCTCTCCAGGAACATAGACCAGTACTCAGCCCTACAAGGCCGTTGATGATGCATCGCAAGAGCGATATGCAGAGCACTTTCTCCACCGTGCGAGCTGCACGGCCAGCACGAGGCCGTACGCAGGCCTGCGTTCTTCCCATGTTGTCACACGTACCACGCGGCACGCGTGCTCGCTCTATGAACGCCGCCGTAAGTCCATCCATTTCGTTGATCTTCCTGGCGAGTGTTCCGCGAAACGGGGGCGCCGATGAAGTCATGGTGAGCTATTCACAACCGTTGCAGGTGCAGCGCCCTCGTTCAGTGTGGATGACGGCGCGCCCGCTCAGGTGTGTACAGCACCGCTGTTCGTCCCTCTCTACCGAGCGCCTACAACCCCCGCGCGCTGCCCCCGACTGCCTTGGGTGTACCGTGTGACGAACGGAAGCAAGGTTCGACGGTGACCACTTGCAGGGATACGCATGTGCTGATGGAATAGCGCACCTGCCGTCGCTCCATGATGGTTCTGCTCCAAGGCTGTATGGTTCTGCTCCAATGTCCTCGGACTCGGACTTCGTGCCAACCACTATGAACTACCCCCAATTCCAGACTCTGGCCTGAGGACGACGCGCACATGCGAGCCAATGACGACAACATCGCATCGATGTCAAGGCTGATGCAAGCACCGATGCTATACGGACATACGCTACAGGTCACTGGCAGGTGATGCGAGAGATTTAAACTTCGCGTCGTGCCGTTAAACTATCTGTCAGATTGAACACTGAGCAAGGCCGTGATACCACCTACGGCCCCTCCGCTCTTGGTCCACCTTCTATGCCGCCCTGCCACCGGTCCGCTTGGAGGCTACGAAACGCGAACTTTACGGGTCGACCCCCACGCTTGAAGCTTGAAGCTTGAGCCTCCAAGTTTCCTGCGACGGGCAGCTCATACTCAGGCTGCGAGGGAGTGCGATGACATCAATGTTCAGTATTCGTGCTTGCCGATGACGATAGCCCGCTCCCTGGCCTCGGGCAGCTCGTTGTCCTCACCATGATCATGCCGACTTCCTCTCCCACGTCGCACATCGTCGACACATAAAAGGCCGCCCATCCTTCGCCGTATCTCCTCACTCGGACAACCCAGTTCGCGTTCTACACACCAGCCTCAGCAGCCACTCGAGCTCCTACCAGCCCACCCTATCACGATGTTCGCCAAGCTCGCTGTCATCATCTCCTCCCTCGCCATCCTTGCTGCCGCCACCCCCTTCCCAGGCGGAGGCTCTGGCTCTGAGCCCGCGAGCTCGTGCTCGACCGCACCCGTCCAGTGCTGCGACCAGACCGGCACGGCAAGCTCTGAGCCCTTTGCGGGAGTGCTCGCGGGCCTTGGGGTCGTCGTCCAGGACGTCAACGCCCTTGTCGGCTTAAGCTGCTCCTCTGTCAACGTCGTCGGCGTCGGAAGCGGAGCTACGTGGTGAGTGCTGTTGACTCGGATAGATTCGAGATGATGGGTGCTGACCGGTCCTCGATTGCAGCGATACTAATGCCGTGTGCTGCCAAGACAACTCGCTGGGTACGGGACACGTTTTATATACTCCCCTTGCCAATGTCGTGTCGCATGTACACTGACATGGCTCTACTTTTACAGGCGGCCTTGCTGCCATTGGCTGCGTTCCCGTCGATCTCGGTGCTTGACGGCCCATGGACGCGCCGACAGAGCTTCTGAAGGAGGCTGGAGAATGTGAAGTCTACTTATGTACTACAAGAGCTATCCTGTAATGCGATATCATTACAGGTATCGATGGCTGTGAACGGTCTTGTCGATGCCATCTTGCGAATCCGAGTCCTCCGGCCACTGGGGAGTTGACCGCGTGTCATGAAGTGCTACCGATTTCAGGGCGGCATGTGAGGGCACAACTCTTAGGAGAGTGGCAGTCTGTAAAGGTACACTACTAGTTCCTGCACGATCTCTTGCGTGAGGTGTGAGAACAACACGAAGTTATTGCGGGACTTGCATACATAGGCGTACTCACTGATCATCAATATATGAGTCCGCTGTTATGCTTGTCAATGTATCCGATCCATGTGTCATATCATTTGAACTACTGTGAAATCGGCAGGAGTAGACTCTCCCGGCCCGACGGTGTTCGCGAGAGTAAGGCGCGCCGACCAGGCCGAAGTGTACTATTCCATCGAGCTGGACAAGTGATTCCGCCCCGACTCGAGGATCTCTCAGAGCCAATGCAAGGTGATCGTGGTTGGAAATACGGCCGGCCTCGGAGCTGCGGGATCATCAATAACTGGTGCATGGCGACATGTTATCTCTCGACCACCGCTGTCCTTCCGAAGAAGTTGCTCCATGTCCGAGCACGCAAACAACAGCTCGCCCTTAGGACACTGACGCAAAATTAAATGATGAGAGTGGGATTCGAACCCACGCCCTTTCGGACCAGATGGCGGATATCCTTAGTCTGGCGCCTTAGACCGCTCGGCCATCTCACCATGCTATGGGGCGTCTCGGTATGCGTGGTATCAACCCACAAGATCTGTGCTACTCGGCTAAAGTTCGAAGTAAAGGATGCTATGCCACTGCTATGCCAGCGATATATGAGCGATATCACTCAAGTCAAACGCACTGGTAGATGCGAAACCCTGAAGGTCACCTTGATCAATCATTCCAAGCCTGAGACGACAGTACTACATAGTACTGCGCAAAGGTAGAGGCAGGCGCCAGGGCGGCTGCCGGTTCAACACAACTCCCCAATACCTACTTGAACTCAGTTTGCTCTCCTACCTCCCATGACGACCCTCAGAGTATCTACCTCCCGTGAGGTGTCGTCTGAAGACTCCTTGCTCTTCGATATCTACGCTCTCAGCACCATCCTCACCAAGCATCGAGTGGACGCATCACAGCACGCGGACCAGGCGGACAAGCAGCTCACGTTCTGGTGCAATCTCTCCTTCTTACTGAGCACAACTTTCAAAGGGGCCCAGAATAACACCAAAGGCGCAAACTCAGTTGTCGCTGTGACGGGAAATCTCGAGATCACGGCTAATAGCTACACGATCACGGCCGCCGTCGTAGCTAGAAACGACAGTCGTCCCCTCCCCACGAACAACAAGGCGAACTCCGAGGCAGACGCCCCACGCATTGTACATGTCGATGTCCAACAGGACTCAGACAAGGCGATAGAGCTCTTGGAAGACCCTAAGACGTGCATCATCAGGACTCTCCTGACATCCCATCGCCGTTGCTGATACTGGTTATTACTTCAGGGACATTGAGCTCGAAGATCACGTCCGCGACGTTTTCACCATCCTCCTTCACTGCATGACACTGTCTCCCGATGAAAAACCTTTGTATCTCCCCTACTTCACCTCCTTCACCGCTCTCTGCACGTACCGCAAATTAGTCAGCCGTCTGCATGTTGGACCGAAGACCTGGGGTACGAATCCGATCCGTATCATCTATAGGAAATGGTCCGATACATCCCTTCCCCCCGAGTCATCGGAGCTCAATCAGTCCATACTCATCAAGGATCCCACCGTTCGTCACATACTCGGGGACGACTTCCATGTCCCCCCAGGTTCCGGAGAGAACACATTCCTCTTGAATGCGAGCACTGCGGGCACGTGGGCACGAGTCCTTTTGAATGCTCCGCAAGACTTGGAGGCGCAGACAGGCTTAATCGCAATTGTCGGCAACGGCGTCGGCGATGCCAAGTACAAGACCTCCCCGGCACCTCTTAATGACAATGAGCGCCTTCTCGATGCCATCATAGTCCTGGACCAGTTCGTAACCACGAAGGCTCTCGCTCACCTCCTGACCGAATCTGTCGCCAAGGATATCCACGCCAAGTACAACAAAGATGCCATTAAGTCAGGTATGAGCTCGCAATTTCGCGCGTCTCATCTGTATCTCATATCAGCCAGGAAATGACAAACCCCTTGTAGAGACTCAGAGCAGTGGTGAATCTAGTACAGGTATGTTCCTATACATGTCTTGCCATATGGTATTGACAGTCGATAATAGAGGCTGTAATCTCCGAGGGGTCTGTCGACGACAACGACAACAAAGGTGCGTGACATTTCATTGGCATCGACCGATTGACTGACTCTGTTGTAGACATGATAGATGCAGACGATGGTGCCTCGATTACTTCCGAGGACGAAGGTGCGCAGTACCTCATTATAAACCGGTAATCGATCTCATGATCGCGTTAGGGGATGTCACCTTTGATTATCTTCAGAACACCCTCTCTATTCCCGTCATCCGCTACATCTCATCTCTGGCGACCCCGCTGTCCGCATCCAGAGCCATCTTTGAACATTTGTTCAGATCGTTGAACAATGCTGCCGATGTGTCTGTGTCGATGGTCACCCTCGCTGGCATTCCGAGGATCCATGTCAACCAGAACCGGATCAACGACACCCAGCAAAGGCTGACAAACACGCTCCACCTAGACGATACCCAGGCTGAAAGACTGCGTGCACTTTTAAGTGACAAACTGAAACACCCTCTGCTGGTGACCGTCCACGCTGAGGCAGCACTGATGGCCGCTGCCGTCCAGGTCGCAGAAGGAAAGCTAGACTCTGACGCACTGCAGGTGAGTCGCTCTCGCTGACTCCCTGTTGCTCGACTGCTGACGTGAGACCCGCCCGACAGGCGACCCCTGCAAATGAGCAGAAGATCCGCATTGGCATCTCGAAGAAGTGTTGTTTCTGCTGCGCGGTGCTCGGCGAGGAGTTGAACCATTGGGGCCGTGAGATAGCAAGCACAGGATCCTATCCGCAATTCGTTTTGCCCGGGCGGCATGGTATCATCTTCTCGTGGTATTCGCCGCCGGGCATCTCCGCCAATGTGCTTCGCAAGATGGTGACAAGGCTGGAGGGGGCCCTCAAGACATTTCTTGTCACAACACTAGGGCCCAGGAGTGGGCAGACCTCCCCGGCTATATCAGAGACTGCCAACGACGCCGACATGGTGTATCAAGCATACCGGATTCCACTTCGAAGACTTCGATAGCCGTCGAGGCTGTTGCAACATAGCAACCCATGTAATCATCGTTTCCTGTACGTCCCGACATATGAGTCCGCTGTCACGCCTGTCAATGCATCCGATTTATGTCGTCAATGCGCTGTATGTACTACGTGAGTTTCACAGGAGGAAATTCCGGCACGATGGCAACGACAAAGAGTATAGGTGCACGGATCCGGTCCGACGAAGCGTGCTCCATCGACATGAGACTACGCCCCTCCTCGAGGATTTCTCAGTACCAGTGCAAGGGCGCGAACAGGCCCGGGGCGTTGAACGTGCCGTCGACTTGGAGCAGAGCTGCACGGCGATCCCGCACGGGATGCTGACTCGGACGCCGACATCGCGGAGCGGCCTGAGGGGTCGCCGTACGCCTCGAACGTCGACGTGAACGTGTCCTGCAACACGATTGTCCGAAACAGTCAGGTCTACAGGCCATGAGGAGCAAAAAGAGCACAGACGCACCGTCCAGTCTCGTCTATCGCTAGGCAATAGCGTGGGTGAACCCATGGGTGTCATCAGCCATACCCACACCCTTACCCACAGCTTACCCATACCCATGACCGTGGGTGTGGGTATGGTGTGGGTATGGGTAAACCCATGGGTACCCAAGGGTATCAGGCCTTCAATGTACTTATGCAAGAGCTCAGACAGTTGTTGCAATATATGCACATATCTCTGTTACACCTTTAATCTTAGACCTTTAATCTTAGATCACAAGTGACTTTCAGATATACCATGCTTCGACATTAATTTCATTTCATTTTGTAGCACATTACACCTAAGCAGTTCAAGTCAGAATGTGTGGATCTAAAATTCAAGACAAGGAAGGACACTATAGAGGGCAAGACAGGAGGACTCAAACAGCCATCACCTAGCAACAGGTGTTGGTCAATGAAAGAGAACCAGACCATAGCACAACATATAACTAGGTGAATCTGAAGCCGGAAGGCGTGTTGTTAAGACTCAGAGTTGTTACACTTACTGTTTACTTACTACCGGGGCTCTTGACAAATGTACTGTGCACTTTGTTAATGGCTCATACTTAAATACTTTGTCTCCTGTATCTTTACAACATTCTTCTGCTTAACTGTAAATTGATGTATGAATAATATGTTGTCGCAACTGATGGAACAGCATGTTGAGCATTTTCTACTGGGAGTAACACCCATACCCACCATGAAGGGTGTGGGTTAGACCGTGGGTACCACATCTGCAACCCACACCCATACCCATGGTGAAAACCCACAGACACCCATGTGGGTTTTCCATACCCATGCTTTTGCCTATCTATCGCGCGACACTGGCGAATGTAGCTAGAGTCTTGTTAGGTTGGGCAGGCGCCGGCTTGGCCGGGCGGACACGAGGCTCGAGAAAGAGCAGAGATGCACCGTCTTCCCGTCCGCCCACTCGACGACAAACTTGTGCTGGAGCATGATGAAGTCGCGCTCGCCGGGCGCGTACGCCATGAGCGTCTCGAGCTGCGCGCAGAGCGTGTCGAACAGGTTCCCGTCGCGGACCTTCGTGGGCGCGGACGAGAAGAACCCGATCCACTTGAGCCCCGAGATGATCCGCCGGCTCTCGCCCTCGTCTGGGAACTGGCAGATCTCCTTCGCCTTCGCGACGAGCGTGCTGCGGGGGGCGGTCAGATTACTTAGAGTTAGGGGGTCGGATACATAGCGGGGAAGGAACATGCATACCTCTCGCTCGCGTCCGCCGCACCGATCGATTGCTGGAAGACCTCGGACCAGGTCATGCCCTCCTTGAGCCACGCCTTCTTCTCCATGTTCATCCAGCCGAGCGCGCGGACCGCCTTTATGAACGCAGGGAAGCCCTGGTACCGGAGCGTGCCGCGGACGACCGTCTCCGCCTCGGGGATGTTGTAGAACTCGCGGAAGGGCACCGAGTTGCGGTTCGGGTACGCGACAAATCCGAACGCGGGGGTGATGTAGTACGGCTTCGCCGCGCTCATCAGGTCCTCCCCAGGGACGTCGACCTGCTGGCCGTTTGCGAGGTACGACGCGGGGTTGAGGTGAGCGAGGAGCCCGCCCCGCGGGGACCACGAGAACTTGTATCCAAGCGGGTTGTCGGAGCACTCCGGCGCGGGGAGGCCACCGCAGTACGAGTGGAACTCCTTGACCTGCACTGCTCGTGAGGATGTTGCTCAGGTGAGTGAGTGAGATACGCACCTTTCCGCCCTTCGCGTGCACCTCGTCAATGGTCTTGATTGCGTACAGGCGGTCGACACCAGGGTCGACACCGATCTCGTTCATGACGACGATTCCCGCCTTCTTGATTTCCTCCTCGAGCTCGCGCATCAACGGGCTGATGTAGCTCGTCGTGACGACGTTCGTCTTGCCCTTCATCGCGGCTTTGATGACGTTGGCGTGGTAGATGTACGGGACGAGAGAAATGACAAGGTCGTGCTCCGCAATCTGCTTCTCGAGCTGGGCCTTCTTCGCGGGGT